GCTACACCTACCCGTAGTACAACGCTGCGCGTCAAACTCAGGTCACAGTGACGTTGCGTACATTCCGCTCTATGCCTACCCATAACTACATGGATAGGAATCCTGAGTGGGTGCACACGGCTTGAGATCAGCGCGTACCTAGCTGCATGATCTTGCATCCGAGCCGGCTACGGTATCCTTTGCGGTATCCTGAACACGCTTCGTCTCACAGCGGCGCTGTGTTCCCGCAAGTCAGTAGCTTACTGACTACTCAAACTTCCGCAGCCTCTTCAACTATCCTGCATGCCTTCCATTGACATCATTGGGCAAGGCGAGTTGAACCGAACATGGTGTTCGATGTCCCACCCCACTCCAATGCGGCAAGTGGAGCGCATACGTCGTCCGACAGCCCCATGTCAGATTGCCCTTCAATCTCCTTGCCTGTTTGCCGTTTGGCAGCTCTATCGTCATTTACCAAGTCTACATGAAACGCAGACGCCACCGCATGTACCAAGGTGGCCCTAAGACTGAGTACTTCTAGTTCCAGAACGTTCAACTTCATTCCACAGAGAAGCAATTCGGGTGTTTCGCATGCGCGCTGTAGCCGTGGCGCGCACGCCAATCTGCCCCGGCTCACAATGCTGCCTGGTGTCATGAACCAGGCAATCTTTCTATCCTCAATTTGGAAGGTCTGAGCGATTCAACCCCAGGAGTACAAATATGACTACCAAATTACACAACACCTGGGTATGGAGCTTCTGTATGACGCCCCGCGGGCCCTAATGCACGGTCGCCGGTTGAACTCGCTTGCATGCATGTCTCGGCGATACTCCGCCAGACCAATCAGATGTCCTCATTCCCAAACCCCCTCCTCAAAGCGCTCGTTCCTTCTTGTCCGTATCCTACACGGTGCTGGGATTCTACTTGAGGTCAAGTTGACGCGGGTGCGCTCGATCTGCTGCATTAGCTTGCCATGTATACGGTGGGCTGGCGTGTAGCAAGCCTCTTCGAAACAACTGGCTGATAGCACATCGGAGAGAACCCTCTCGAGATCTTCGGTTCAAAATCAGAAAATGCGCAATAGATCCATCCAGGCCCATCACACCCGCATTTCATACCGATACCAACGACCGCTGTCCTGCGAGCGCCTGAACCGTCGTTCAAGCGCGGGTTCGCAACGTCGCGAGATATTCTCTGGCGTGGAGCTCGCGGTCAATTTCATGTTAAGATCGGCAGCACAGCCCCAATTTCGGGGTTAAGCATGCTGCATCTCCATTTCATCAGCAGCTGCCTCTGGGCCTTCTAGGAATGCGTTCGCTTGCACGAGCGGTCTGCACTGCGCTGTGCGTTATGTGAGCAGTGGCTAGCTAAAGGCAGATGCGGTGAGGAGTGTTCAACGTTGCACACCCACTTTATCTCGATCCATGTTTTGTGTGGCTTGGATTGCGGTATTCTTTAATAGACCATTTCAAACCGTTCCAAGGTTGTTTTCTGTCGCAATACTCTCGTCCCGCACATTGCCGCTGTCTGCAGTGCCATCCCTTCTGGCAGCAATGCAAGGGCACCATATGCAGGTGAGCAGACTGCTCCAGGCGTGCGGATAATTTGGGTAAATAGCGTCAGGCTTAAAAGGGTCCAGCGGAACATTGCTTCTTACCTCCTCTGAGCAGCACCGCATACATAGGCGAGTGTAAACATCTGGGCCTTACAGCTCACTACACGCTACGACACCGCCCGTCCAAGCTACTAACCTCGCTTCCTACGAAGCCAATGACCATTGCGAATATTCTCAAAGCACAGCATAAGCAAGTAAGCAGCATCGTATGCACCTCGTATCAGGCCGCGCAGTAAGCTCGGATTCCGACGTCCGACGTAACAGCAACAACGTGGCGACAGTTTGCTCTCTGGCGTTCTACTCCTACGCCCGCAGGATAGGATGCAGGATGGAAAAGACGGCACGCATCTGGATTTCACAAGAAGCTGGGTAATGCCCGAACAGGGCTACACGAGGTGCAGCCACGTTTAGCGTTGGCCCATCATATCGAAGCGGAGGAAACTTACTGTGTAGGCACTGCTAGCATCGGCCGTCTTCCGTAGAGATCCAGTCGAACCACGGCTCTGTACGTTTGCGACTGCATTGAGTTTCCAGGAACATCCAATAGGCAGAAAACATCGGCCATTTCTCCGCTCATGGGAATGTAATCCAGCATGCGGCACAGCGATAAAGTTGCAGCAGCCTCGCGACAATAACTGCCACTCGGAGGTCACTCTTGCGCGACGAGTGGCGACGGAGTACGGATCCCCACGCGTCTTTGTCCAACGTGGCCAGCTAGCTGGATTCTTCTCCTGTTTACAGCAAATCCATCTTCCAAAGAGCACTCGACCAAATGTCTTGATGCCCGGATGTGGATGGAAGGATGGAAACTAGGTTGATCGTAATGAAACCTAGTCCATTCCATTCCGCAACAATCGCGTCCCATGTTACAAGACAGTCAAGTTCGAACGAAGCTTGAATTCGTTACCACAGTCACAAACTCCTGCGCGCAAGGTAAGATCGGAAAAGTAGGAACTCACATTGGGCTTGCCCTCTTTTATTATTGATGCTTGCATTGCTTTCGAACGTCGCCGCTTGTTTCCATTGTCGCCCATTTGGTCTTCCAATCATCCTTCCTCTCCTCTTTGCAATGGTTTTGTTGTCGGGAAGTCACGCGCGTTACCTATGGCATCAGACAACATCGTAGGTGAAGGCATTCGATTATTGTTCGAGTATCATACCCATGCGCAGCGCACACCATCAGCAGCGTTCATGTCGCGTCGGAAGTCAGCTTTCAATGTGATATTCGGGGTCGCTGCCAATCCGCATCCAGACTTGCCAGAAATCACGCAAGGCGAAGTTGGGAAGTTGACAGGAATGTGCTTTCCCGATCCTCGAGTTCACATCATTCAGCCTGCGGATGATCTATTTAACTAACTGGATCGAATTTCATGTCTGCAAACCTCTACTCGTTCTCTGTTCCCTGTCTGTTTCCCTTCGATATTCCTTCGAAGAGATTTTATTAGTACCTTACACCTAAGTCTCGTCCTTGACCTCACGCATACTACTTCCAATTCCCAAAGTGCGCGAACTGTTCCTCCCTTTGCGATACGAACCACAACAAACGTCGTCCGGGTTACCAATCGCAACCTCTGCTGGGTCTTCGATGCCGTCTCAAAGCGGAAAGAGCAAACAAACTCCAGCCTGGGACCTCACTGTCGGCCACCTGCCTACGTCACCATCCTGTGCTTGTCCATAGTCACATTTCTAGCATCTGTCCGTCGTACATGATCAAAATCGCTGAGAAGGCTAGTCGCATTTGCGCCACGGCACCCATGGTCTGTATGGGCGAGGTGGTGCCACGAAGGTGCCTTCCTGGGCACGCGCAGAGCACAACAACGACGCACGCTCTCGCCCCACAATCGCGCCTTCACCTTCACTTTTGCTCCTGCCAATCCGTCCTCTGCTTGTCGCCTGCCGCCGGAGCTAATTTCCGCCGTGCCTGCAAACGCTGCTCGCACGTCATATAAACAATTTTTCTGTGTCCACCTCCGTGTCTTCTGCTTCTCTCACGACACTCACCCCAAAGCTTCATCATCTCTGCAGCTGCATCAATCCAACACGAACATACTTCACTTCATCCCCACCACCAATCAGATTACCGCTATCAACATGTTCGGCTACAAGATCTTCGCTGTCGCTGCGCTTGCGCTGGCTGTCGTCGCCACTGACCGTGAGTACATGCTTCAGGCTTAGCTGCAAAGCTGCTTGGATACCTCTACATGGCATCGGGCACACGATCTAACATCTCTTGCAGCTGTCTGCGCTCCCGCTGCCACCGTGACTGTTACTGTCACCCAGTGCGTCCCCGAGCCCGGCAAGCCGTCGTCTGAGCCAGTCCCCGCTCTGTCAGATGTCTCCTCTACCCCCGCTATGTCGGCTGTCTCCTCGACTCCCGCTTTGTCGGCTGTATCCTCTACTCAAGACGGCGGAGCGCCTGTACCTACCACTACTAGCGTTATCCTGCCTCCCCCAGGACGACCAGTTCCCACCACCAACGTCCCCGATGACGAGCCTTCCAGTGCTACTACTACGACTGACGGGGGTCCCTCATCCTCAGGTCGCCCTGGTGAGCCCACAACCACTGCCGTCGAAACTGCTGGCGCCGCTCTCGCAACGCCTGTCGTCGGTATGGGCTCGCTCGTCGCCATGGGTGCTGCAGCCCTGGCTATCATGGCCTAGGCCCGTTCACACAAGGTCCACGTGCTATATTGAGCAGGGGTGTCGCGCTACACGTCGCGTTCTCAGTCGAAGTCGTTAGTGCAAGGCCTGGTATCCATGGGGCTCTCTCTTATTGTCTTGATCATTCTCTCAAGACCCAGATACCCCCATTCATGATTTGGTATTAATGTATTGGCGGCTTATCATCGGCATGGGGTGTCATCACTCGTCGAAAAGCTGCCCCATGGTATTGCATGTTCATAGCCTTCCACGAGTCTAATAAAAATACTGACATCGTCATTACTCTTGCTTCCGTACCATGCTTGCTTTGATGACCATGCCGTGTGAAGTGGCTCTCACACCGCGCTTGGCTTCCACTCCTCGAGCTACCACGGATGACTGAGTTGATACCTTGTTGCTCGAGAGTCAATGAAGCCCTGCTTGCCTATCAGAGTGCCCCTCGTTGTTGATTTCGGGCACTGAGAAGGGCAGTGATGAATATCCTACCGAGGACGGACAGTACGTTCATGTGGATCGTTAATACTGGCTAGAATGAAGGCATGATGAGACTGAGTACGGTTCTGATGGAGTGCACATGAATATCAACAGAAAGACATATCAAGGGCGGGGAAAGCGAAAACAGGGAACAAGCATAAATATACTCTGAGATATCTTCTAATGATAGTAAGAATCCCTCAATTAGAGAACGCATCATGCTAATATATATCGCTCGTTCCTCCCACTGGATGACCACTCAAACGAAGTACTATCCCGTTTGTTTATACTTCGTCCTCAACTCATCGATCTCGCGTTGGAACTTTTCCATATCGTCGAGGATGTTACTCGAATCGCTCCTTCCCTCGCCCTCCTTCCCACCAGCCATATTTTCATCGAGACCTAGCTTCTTCTCGCTCTCTTCCATTGGCGAGTATAAAGCATATTCGTTCCCACCTTTCTCGTCTGCAGGCGCGTATTCCCTCCTCAATGAGCTTTCGCTGGCTACGCTCGTCCGTCTGTGCTCTGTGCTTGTACGGCGGTACTCCGTGCTCGTCCGTCGGCTTTCTGTGGGGGACGAAGAGGGTATCTGAGGTCTTTGCTGATCAAGGCTTGAGCGATTTGATCGGCGTCTTGGTGGAGGCGGAGGTGGCGGCATGTTGCTTCCAGTGCTTTCTCCAGATACATTTCGCTGGGTATTGCGATTGGACGATATGGATGAGGCGCGGTGCACACTCGGCGCGGGTGACGAAGGTTGGGATTCTAGAGTGCTCCGGCGGGATGAAGGGGGTTCTGGAACAGATCTCGGCGTTCGACCCGAACTTGAACGCTGTGGCAGTTCGGTGCTAGAAGAGTTCGCGCTTGAGTTGCCTAGGTTTGCGAGTCGTGCGCCGTGTCGTGAAGGTGGAGGACGTGGTGGTGACTTTGCTCCAAACGGGTCGACGTTACTTGGAACTGGGCTTTGTATGGGGTCAACCGAGTGCTGAGATGATATCGTAAGGTTTGAACTGCTCCGCGATCTATTGCCTGTCGTCGTCGTCGTTTTGAGCTGACTCTGCCTACGGGCCAATGGCACGGGGGGAGGTGCCTTCTTTTGTCTAGTTGTACCTTCTGAAGACGGTGAAGGCTGGTCTTGTGATGGTGGGGTTGGTTGAGATTGTAGCGGGGTGGTATCTTGCGTGCTGATATGGGATGACTGCGGCGCAGCAACGGGAGTTGGAGGGAGCGGCTTGTTTGTGTCCGAACTGTCTGTTCGTCTAATAGCCGGCGGTGGTGTTGGCTCTGTCGCTGCAAAGCTCTCGAAGGACACTGTCTGTGGCTGTCTCTGCGTAACGAGCTTTCCGTGTCGATGCTTGGGGGCAGGCGGGGGCTTCTTCTTGCCCTTCTTCACCTCGGAGACTAGCCCCATGCTCTCGTCCTCTTCCGAGTCGGCCATATCGACCGATGTACGTGGTGAATCAGCGTGGGATTCTTGTATGGGCTCGAATAGCGATTGCCGTGAGACTGAGGAGGTATCCGTGCTACTACTGGTCTCGAATTGCGCGCCTGCGACGGGTTGTGATGCGCTCATAGACTGCTGAGGCGGACCGGATGGTCGCGGAGTAGCCTTTCCGGTCAGGAGTAGATTCTTGAAGCTCTCCACATCCAAGGAAGCTCTGCTGTTGCCTAGCATCGGTCTTCCCGTGTTCGTCCGCTCCTCCTCGCTCTCCTTGTCTTGGGGTTCTAACGAGGCCAGTGTTCTCGAGAATGGATTCGCTGGTACGTTACCCGGCGATTGCATCGCCAGCGGCTCGCCGAAGGTTGGTCTCGGGTTTGAGGACGCGTCCGCTATTGCCATGGCGTCTTTCCCGACAACTTGGGCATTGGCTTCACCCGCGGTGACAGAGTTGTTGACAAAGCCGGCGGGTGTTACGGGAGGCAGTGGGCTTGCAGGCCGACCTTGGCTCGATCGCCGGGCCATGAGCTCGTTCAAGGTCGCATCTGAGTCGTCAAAGATGGGCGGTGGAATCGTAGTAGTGGGCGAGAGAATGCGGACAGACTTCTTGGTCTTGCCAGTCGAGGGCGGGGCGGCATCTTCGAGCACTGTAAGACAATTACTCTTTGAATGCCAGCAGACGCAGAAAGGCAAGGCGAGGGAATACCATGGTCGCTGTCCTCCCTGCGCGCTCCAAGCACACTGCTATCCGTGTTGATGAAGGATGTCTGCGGGACGGGCGCGGGCTGACGGGGAGCTTGAGAAAGGCGGAAGGGGTTTCCGGACGACATGGTGGGTGCTAAAAACAATGCATTATTCTATGTACATGGAAGGGGCGCGAGAGAAGCGGTGAGATGGTGCCGCGCAAGAAATGCTGTTGCTGATAGTCGGCTCTGCGACGTGATCATCGCCGATATGCAGGTGCTGGCGATCCGGCGCGGGACAGCGAACAGCCCCCACCATCGTACCTCGTACACCATGACGGCCCAATGAACCTCTGCTATCCATAAGGCACAATTTCGCCAACGAATTCTGTGGCCCTCTGTGTTCTAGAGCTCACGTTGCAATATTCGCTTTCTGCTGCAGGATTTGGACACTTCTTTACACTGTTTAGTAAACGCGTGGGCAACTTGCAGCGGCCTACCGCGGCTATCTATGTAAGGGTCTATCTCCACGGTACGCTAATCGACATATACATGCCACCCTGCCTGGCAGTCAAACCATTTGCGCGCCAAGTTCCCTCCACTCTCTGTCGGTTGGCTGAAAGCAACTCGAGCTTTCTCAATGTGCAGCCCATAGATGAAGTCGGATCGTGCGATATCCAGCAGCCTAGTCGCGATGCCTTTCTTTCTCTGTTGATTCGACGTCCATATACGCGATATGCCCAAGGCCACCGGATCTGAATCGGTGCTGATAGAAATAGAAGAGCTATGGGGCGCGACAGCATCTCCTTGCTCCTGTTCGGGCGAACTGGTGGGGTCCAACACCTTATAGGCTTCCCATATTCGCTCTACCAAACATGCTCCTACACACTTATTCCCTCGAATGTATAAATATATCTTGAATCGATCGACGAGTGCCACGTTGGCTGGGTTCTTCGCCGAGGGCCGTGGTTTCGGTACAGGCGTAGTCCGTTCTGTTTCGTCTGCCTGGGCTGTCCGACTCGTCTGTCCCCAAAGCTCGTCGTCTGATATGGGAACAGCAGCAAGCTCTGTGTTCACAACCTTCAAAACATCACTCGCCCGGTTGCGCATCGCCAATGTATCCTTGCGTCCAACTACAGCGATGAAGCTCCCATCACCACTCCATATCTGGTTCTTCCTAAAGCGCTCCACGACTGGCTTGGTGAAGTCGACACCCCCAAGGTTCATCGCATGAAACTTCTTGTGTAGCGCCGCGTCTTCGGCATTCGACGGTATGTACTGCATTCCACATGTCTTGCATGTTTTACGCGTCTCTGAAGCCAGGTCTAACTGCATCTGTACCATCTGCTTCTTTTTCGGTGCTGGCTTCGGTGGGCTTTGCGCATTGTGACTCCGTTCTGTAAGGGGTTCTTTGGCGGGCGTGCTCGGCTTGAGTTGCTTTTTGAATATGGAGAAGACTGGTCGCCGTTTTTGAACGGGTGGAGGGGAGCTGCGCGGTGCTGGCGACGATGGTGGACTAGACCGAGGCGGTTCGTCTGAGAAGACTGCGGGCGAGTCTTTGGGGCTGGACGGAGGAGCGGTGGAGCTTTCACGCTCGCATTCGAGAGATGAAATGACAACCGTAGGAGCAGTATCCAAAGAGGTCAAGGTCGTCGTTTCGGTACTTTCGATTGTGGTCTCGACGCGTCTTCGTTTGGTAGGCGGTTCTTCATCGTAGAGTTGACGCTTCGTGTGTCGCGAATAGGTTCTGACAACCTTTCTGCAATTATGTTAGACATGCGACATATCTTCAATTGGATCGGCTTACTTTGCTCCGAAGGACGACATTACGGCGCTGTTGGCAAGCGTCGTAGGAACTGCGAGTGCTGGACCGCCCACGCGACAGACGCGTGTTAGCGCGCTGCGCTAGTGCCCGCCCATATGCACGACGTCACGCCTCGTCCTCTCACATGTCACCTGGTCAGTCCCAAACATCGTGTTCAAGGATATACTTCACAGTCATCAAGTCTTTGCGCGTCCTTTAAATACGGCGATACACTTGCATTGTTCTGGACTCATCAAATGGGCGAGTGTCGCTAGATCAGGCCACCGGTCGATATCCCAGCAGGGAAGGTGCGTTTGCTTCGTGCTGACTAGCCTTATCATGGTCACTCAAAGGGCATCTATGAGTCAACGGCCGTGAAGCAATCAAGCACTAAAAGTACACAAATATCGGACTCTCTCTACTGGCCCATCTTGATTCCTTTCTCCCGTATGCGCACATCTCGCCGGTGTATCTATCTCCACAATGGCGGAACAAACAACACTAGCACAGACGGGCACATCAGTTCCATCATCCATAGTGACTACCAAGCGTCTAATAATCCGTCCAATGTGCCTCGAAGATGCCCCTTCGACTTCCCTGCACGCCAACGACCCCCTCATCGCCAAGTATATGCGAGGAACTTTTCCCAGTCCATATACACAGTCTAGCGCCGAGACATGGATCAACACGAACCTCGCACTCCCATATCAACACCATTTCGTCATCTGTGAGAGATCAGCGCCAGGACTCGCAATAGGAGGTATCGGGTTGAAACTAGGCTCGGATGTGTACGCACATGCAGCAGAAGTTGGTTTCTGGGTTGGAAAGACGTATTGGGGAAAAGGTTATATCACGGAGGCACTGGAAGCCTTCACAACATGGAGTTTTGAGAGTTACGAGAACAACGGCCAACGATTGACCAAACTCTACGCTGGGGTGTTCTCTGGCAACGGGGCGAGCATGCGGTGCTTTGAAAAGAATGGGTACGTACTCGAAGGTGTACTGAGGGACAATGTTTACAAGAATGGTGAGATGAAGGATGAGCACATGTTCGGTATGAGAAAGGCAGACTGGGAGAGAAGATTGCGTGAGGGTGTCAACAAGTAGTGGAGTGAGGGGTAGCACCTGAAGTGGATCAGAGGTCTCTCAGATTTGGTAGTCTTTGGAAAGGTGATCACAGTAGTGGCCAAGACAGGTTGAGAAGTTTTTGATTCAAAAGCCAAAGTGCGCTTGAGGTAACTCAAGGACCTGGTTGGGCTATGTATGCTTGGAGTTGCATGAGCAGTATCTCAACCGGCACATTGTGTCTTGCTCTCTTCATCACGACACATTTCTCACCAGCGTACTTGCTGCCTTTTATCAGTTCTTGCGCCTTGTCCTCTCCAAGTAGATCCACCAAACTGTAGACCGCAACCTTTCTGCCTCGCCAAGTGGTGGTATGAAACTCGAGCTCCGGAAACATCAGGCGAGGTTGCAGACATGCGATGACAGGACCAGTATACCAGTGTGGTGAAGAGTGAGTGACTTCTGGGGTAGCATGTGGATCCAGCTTCGCCTCAAAGCTCTTGGTAAAGTAGGCTGACCACTTTTCCAGCTCAGCCATGTTCAGATCTGCCAGCTTTTGCATGTCATCCCCACGGTTATGAAGCGATCGGAATATGAGGACAGAAGACACGTCTTCGACGCACTCAATGTCTTCAGTCCGGGGACTCGCGACTGGAATCAATCGACCTCTGAATCCAAAGTTCCAGCTGAGCTTACTCTCTACTGTCTTGCGCATCACGTCCAGTATGAAGTCTGGCATGTCCTCCCTCCAGACCATCTTCTTCAAGCCTAGCCCGCCAAACTTTTCGGCCATGCGCGAGTTCAGAGCCTTTTCCCAGGCTTTCTTCTTGCCCAGTTGTACAGTAACCCGACGAGTCCCAAGGAAACGGTGTGGGGGTCCGAGGTGCTTCTTGTCCGTCGTGAGAGAGACAGGCAGGAGCCACGGGTCGTTAGTCGTTGGATGCGGGCGTGCGTGGAGAGAGGTCAGGAAAGCGCTGGGAAGGGAGATCATTGTTGCGCGACATTGACGGACTGGCGATGCCAACGCATGGGCTGAGAAATTAGTCTTGCATTGCCATCAAGGGACAGCATTATGCATACCGAAAGGATTCTCCCATAGTTTCTTCTGGAAAGGCGTGAATTCAGCAAAATTCCGTCGCTCTTTCGTCTGTTCATAGCGAGACCTTTCTTCTAAGGCTACCGGATCGAGTAATGGCGAAAGTGGAAGTTCTTTGGCTGTCTCGTCTTTGCGGAGGCGGAACGTTTGGTGGGCATCTTCGCGCGTAGGACCAAGGTCACTGCCTTTCAAGAGACGACCGGGAATATGGGCGGAGGATTGGCGGCATTGAGCCCGCGCCGGGAGTCTAGTGGGGTTCAAGCATGACGTCGGGCGACAGATCCATCTGCCTGGCATCAGGCGGGACAGGGAGCGACTGCGTGGTTCGTGCGGGTTGAGGGTGTTGCGCAGGAAGAGCCAAACGATCGCATCGGACCCCCGGCTTGGCGCGCCGGAGCTGCGTTCACGCGGGGAGGCAGGAGCTACCCCGACATCACCATCATGGCTTCTCTATTACGGCGGGCTACAAGGCCATCAACACTACAAAGCTTCGCCAGATATGGCACGCGCTCAATATCAAGCCAATTCGGCTTCCAGCCGCAATGGAGTCCTCAGCAGCAGGACCAACAAACACCGCGCGCCATCTCACTGCCGATACCCTACGTGACGGAGACTACTGTGAGCTCAGCAGCGTTACTATTCAAGAGCTAGCTGACTTTATAGGGTGGAGGCTGGAAAACTTCCGACATCTTCTCGCGTCTTCTCCAAGAGCGCATCATTTGCCTGAACGGCGAGGTTGACGACTACATGTCCGCCAACGCTGTCGCCCAGCTCCTCTTCCTCGAAGCCGACAACCCCGAGAAACCCATATCCATGTACATCAACTCGCCCGGCGGCAGCGTGAGCGCCGGTCTTGCGATTTACGATACCATGAACTACATCCGCTGCCCGGTCAGCACAATATGCATGGGCATCGCAGCCTCCATGGGATCGTTGCTGCTTGCAGGTGGCGCCGAAGGGCAGCGATACATATTACCACATGCACGAGTCATGATACACCAGCCGAGTGGCGGATACCGTGGCAAGGCAAGCGATATCGCGGACCACGCCAAAGAGATCCTCAGGATACGGGACAAGCTGAACAAGATATACCAGTCGCACGTTACGAAGAAGAGGACGCTGGAGGAGATTGAGAAGTACATGGAGCGCGACTACTTTATGGATGCGCAAGAGGCAGTGGAC